GTTGGTCCAGCCTAATGGGTTTGGCATTGTTTGGGCTCAGTTTTCGGCTTGGACTCTATTTATCATTTATGTTTCATTATGAATTGGGCAGCTTGGGTTGGGTTATGGCTGATTGGGCTGGGCTATGGCTGATAGGAAATAGTAGTACTAATTTTTTTTTTTGGACCTGGGCTATAGCCCAGGTTAAGCCCACACGTGGTTCTGCCCCTGTTGGTAAGGCTGTGCACCTAAACTCAAATGTATAAATCTAATTTGAACAAGAACCAATATATCGACGTAAATATATTGTGAATTAAAACACATATATAAAATTAATTAGTATTTATCATGTTGATTTATTTTGAGAGCTAATTAATATTCCAAAAATAAAACAGACTATTTAAAGGATTGGAGAAATACTGCCTTAATTTAATTAGTTTTAAGTGACTGCCAATGCCTCCAAACATCAATATACACACACATGGAAGATAAACCAACATTGAAAGGATAGTTTTGCTCTTAAAAAGTTACCCTTTTAATGTCCAAATAAATAGGAAATATATAATTAATGAACTTTTATGATTGATTTTTTAACCAATCAGAATTGGGCAGTCCTGTAGCCATTGTCCTTACCATTCCTCTTGCAAAATATTAATGGGGGCATGCATTTGGAGTAACTAGTGCACCATCTCAGGTAAAAATATACTAAAAATAAAATAATATAACATATATGATATAAAATCTATACTTGGCCCTCCTAAGAAAAAAAAATTATTTCTTTAATTAGCATTTAACAAAAGATAGTTTATATATAATTTAAAAGAACGTGATATTTAATTGACGAACGTAACATTTAATTGACGACTATAGAATCTCGATTTAATATGATTATCTTAAAATTTCAACTCAAATATCGTTCTTTCCATAATGTTATTATCTTAAATCCTTCTAACTTTAGTACAATTTTTTCCATAACCTTTATTATCCTAAAATTCCATCTCATACATGATTCTTTCCATTACCCTTTTTATTTATTTATTTATTTATTTTTATTGGAATGCTTTTATACGAATTCTATAAGAAGTTAATTTTTACAAAATCGATGATTTAATAATTTAAATTCTTATTTTATTAATTTGTTTGTGTTTTTTTATTTTTATTTTTAATTTTTATTATTGTTATTGTTTTGTTAAATTTTCAATTGTTATTTTTTTTTTAAAAAAAGAAGAAGATATTTTTGTTTTTTTTTCTTTTCGGCTAATAAAGAGAGTTATTTAATTTAATATTTTTTATAATTTTGACATAAATCTTATTTGTGTTTGTTTAGAAAGTAAAATCATTTATTTTAATTTAAATAAATTGGAAAAAGTTTAAATAGATATACTTTTGTATGAATATAGTAAATAGTAAATTTTTGCCTACACATATATTCAAAAGTTCTAACTAGGTGGTTGTTTTTAATTTTGGCCCTCCCAACCTCAAGATCCTGCCCCGGCCCTTGCTTGTCCATGTTGCATACGGTTCAATGTAAAAGGAAAATGGAAATTGATATATCAACTTGGGATTCATATATATATATATATATTTCTCTTTGCAAGCCAAAACACTACTATACAACCATATTACATAAGCCATTCTCGGCTAATATGAGGATACCAATAGAAAAACATTTAACAACCATAACTGACATGAGGTCATTGACTGAAAGCGTGATAATAGCCTGGCTAGCAATAATTCCTGTTCAACAGATATGAAGTCAACTTTTGCCACCGTGATATCAAGAATGATGGAGGAAATTGCGATGAGAGTAGAGGAGGACTCATCGATTGCAGCAATCACATTCGTCGCAGCACTTGCAAAACACACGTCATTAAATGCTACCAAAGCCACAAGAGGAACCTCTACTGTAACTTCAAACACAAAGCACAAATAATTTGCGAAACCCACAATACGAGTGAGTGCAAAAGTATCAACCCAATCAGTTATGTGGTTAATATTTTCAATTTGGGCCGAGAAAATAGCTGAGCCCACCATTTGAGTGATATTAGAAACTAACAATAAGAGAATTGTAGAAAGTATTTATAATAAAAAAGGATGAAAGCTTAAATTCATTATTTTATCCTTACCACAAATCATTTTATATTTTTTGATCGGATTAATTTGTTGGACGCAGTTGAAGAAAGGGAAGATACAAGGGACGAAAAAGACAAGTGAATGATTGAGTGAAGAAAATGAGAATAGAAGATACGAGTGTATATAGACACACACCCTTTTTACAATATTATATATGAAGATGCAATATTCACACCATATATATAAACTTAATTAATTATAAGGTATTATTCAGGGTTTGGTAGCCACTTTTTTTTCCTGGCCTATCATTTGTCTTCAATTGTTGTCAATGAACAGTAGTGCGGTACTAAAGTTTGTTACTTTGTGAAAATCTTATTGATATATCTAGCTATCTTGTTGCCGTAAAAGATGGCACTTGAGCAATTTAATTATGTATATAAAGCGATGTGAGAGTATCTTCTTCTTTTTTAATATTGAAAGAAAGCTTCACGCTTCATAATCTAAATATACAGTAGAATCTTTTATTAGTGCACAAGTCATTTTCAATTGCATATTTTTATGCAGCGGAACTTCACATTACATATTTTATACTAATTAATAAATTATTGATATATATCATGTGATGTGAGAGAGAATTCATATTAATTATTCCTTCATCTCAAACAAAAAGTGTTATACTTTCTTCTCTTTTTTTTTTTGATATGTCCCAAAATAATTGTCTATTTTTTTTTTTCAAAAAATATATTTCACATCTTTTTATATAATTACTTTAAAATTTAAAATTTCAAACTTAAATGTTTAAAATTTAAAATGGCAAGTTAAATCATAAGTCTCACATCTCCTTTTAAAAACTACTATTTTTAAAAATAATATTTAAATTGAAACGGAGAGAATAATATATATATATATATGATTTTGTTAAAGAAGAATTCTCACACAATTCTTATTAGCACGATCTCCTGTAATAATAGGCTATCACACAAAAATCTGTTTTTGAATGTCAGAGACGTTACCCTGATCTCCAAATTATCGTTTTTACTTCCTTGTCGCATTTCTTGATCCGTATATATAGATATTTAATGAACCATAATGTGAAGTACAGATGGCATTTTCGGTTCTTCCACTACAAAAAGCACTTAAAACCTAATCCAAACACCACCAACCTTTCGTAATCTTATTGGAACACCGAAAAAAGTGGAAGAATGTAAATGTGATGGTGGTGCAACGTCCAATTGATTGTTTACTAGTTTCGGTCGGTAGTTTCAGCACTATCATAACCATATGATGAAGAAATTTCATAATTATGTTAGTGGCGCTGTCGAACACGCACCGTGGCACCCACTTTTTACAATTAAATCCATTACAACATATGGAACATAATATTTAATGTATTGTAATAACTATGCCTTACCAACAACATTTATTGACACCTAAGTACATATTAGGTTACATGAATTAATACTATTTGTAACACCCATTTATGAATGGTCTTCATCGCCCTTAAGTTCCAACTGTTACAACCAATATTCTATAACACTCTCAGTTCATTGATCATTGACATAGTAGCAATATATGTTAGTTAGTTCAAGTATAAATATGCATTAATTCCAACAAGACATGTTCAAAGTAACTCACTCAAGCAAGAAATAGGATTAATTCCCAAAAAATTAGAGTTTGGTGATCAATTTTTTTTACTTAAGCAAGAAATAGGATTAATTCCCAAAAATTAGAGTTTGGTGATCAATTTTTTTTTTTAAAAAATTCTTTAAAATAATTATAAACTCACAAAAAGATAAAGAGTAATAGTGCCAAACTTAAAAAATAATTATGCGACCATTTAAGTTTCAATGCCCTCAATCCTTCAAATGAAATATCTTCTCAGTGCAGATTCGGGTGTGCTACGAAAATTATGTTCGAAAATGAAGTTTTTTATTTTGTTTTGGGGAATAGGAATCTCCCAAAGATTGTTTCAACTGGACTAGTCTTTATCAATGCCATTCAAGGCCCTCAAAAGAACGTCTAATAAAAACAGAAGAGAATCAAGTGGGTGGTTGGTGACTGCGCTCGCAGTGCCATGCCACAGATGGACGTGAACCGCGTGGGTCAGATTCCGGCTGAGTGATGGTGGAGAATCATTTTTTCCTTTATGTTGTTTAGAGTCCATTTTTCATTTCCTTTAATGCATCAAAGTTCTAATGAGCAATTACAACTTACTCTTGGAAAATAATTGAGTCTGCTTGATGATGAACATTAGGTATTAGGATCCCTTTTAAGTGTAAATATATTTTTTTTAGAATCACGTCTATGAATATAGTTCAAACTTTACTCGATTCATATTGGAAGGCAAAGCCTTGTATAAGTCTTGTGAATTAATTGGGAACAAATTCTCAAATACCGTGATTATCAAAAAATAAAATTAATTTTTTTTTTTTTTTTTTAATCTGAGTAAGATTGCTCTAAAACAGTTTTATTTTTATTTTTATTTTTATTTTTGACCATCAAAATTTTATTTTTCCATTAATTTAACTGTCAGTGTAACTATAAAAACTTGAAAAAATAATTATGATGAGAAATGTTTGAATATGCGAATTAGTCATTTGTCCAAATAATGTCTATCGATTTGCATGAGGATGATCCACCCTCTATTTGACTTTAAATCCCGAAATTTGAATATTAAGCAGAAGGGAATCATCAGACAGTTGGCATTGGCAAAGCTACTTAGCTAGCTTCCATTGAGTAGCACAAGAAATCATAATTATTTTCGGAATTTTACGTAGGGACTATAATTACAAAATAACAATTATGATAATTTTGTTAAGAAGTCTTAATCTCTCTTTTTATTATTGCTTCTTTTGTAATTTTGTATTATAGTTCTTTAGGTGGGCCCAATTTACAAAACCAAAGAAAGAGAAACAAACAAAGCTAAAACACATCAAAACAAATAAAACTAAGCAGAGAACATCAACATTCATAATTAACCTATACCACTACAAAAGATCACTACATACAGTCCCAACCAAACGTACACATTAACTTCTAAACCTATATACAAATTGGATCAACCGTAAAACACATATGCATATAATGCCATATATATATATATATATATATATGTATGCACTTCTTAGAACACAGAATCACCAAAAACTGTAGATAACAACGATCAATATATATATAACATATTAGAGATAGAGAAAGAGAGAGATGCCTTTGATCGTAGGTTTTTGTGTAGCATTAATTTAGCTTAGAACAGGGCAGTTGTCTTTGAATTAACAGCATAGCTTCTGCTTCTTGGATAAACATCAGTGTTGACCTTGATATCTTCACCAAACTCACAAGCCTTGTCTTCATCAATCCTCCCAATCCCAACACTCTGGCTCCGAGGCACCGCATCCACTCCTCCGGTGACCGGAGAATGTTGTCTCCGTAGAAGATCCAACTCGATCTTGTTGCCAAGACTCCGTGTAGAAGCAACCTTGATAAGCTCCCTGAAATCCTCGTCGTTGCTGGATTTGGAGGAGTTGACACTGAAACTCTTGGGCAAAGAGGAGACTTGGGCGGTAGGACAGCCCATGACGTTGTCGTAGCTGACCTTTCCGGCGCACTGAGTCATGCTTTGAATGTACAGGTCCCTGGCCTTGCTCAACACCTTAATGGGTGCCTTCAAGCACCGACTCAGTTTGGTCTCTTTGCTACTACTCTTCTTGGACATCTTCTCCTAGCTACTCTCTATTAATTGCACTCTTTTGATAAATACTGTAATTAGATTATGATCAGTTATATATATATATTATGTATACAGAGTTGCTAGGAAGTGAGGATTGGAAAAGAGAGAGGAGGAAGAGCTAACGAAAGAGTTTGGCTTATTTGAATGCAATAAATGTGGGGAGAAATATATTGGGTGGAATTGTTTGTTATGGTATGAAAAGAAGGAATTTGGGTATAATTTCTAAGTCTTACAGTAATTTGGAAAGTGATGGGATGGGGCAGAGGGATTTGTAGAGGTTGGATGAACAGTTGGATGTACGAGTGGAAATTGTCAATGTAAAGCCGGTATTGGATTAATTTAATCTAAACAGCCGGGATAAGAACACGACACATATAAAATGACACACACACACACATATATATGGCTCCTGGGGATTTAACAATTCACACCAATGTTGAATATTTCATCCTGATTACTCTATTTTCTTGTACTGATTTTTTATTTATTTTATTTTTTAATCAAGAAAATGAAAAAAAAAAAAAACATAAAGCAATTGTGGTTTATTAATTTAATTTATCTAGTTTGTTGGTTCTTGGTCAAAGTATTGGCAATATTGGAGCTTAATCTAAGTAGATAAGATGGTTGAAAATGATCTTACTGATTGGTGATGATTGTTGATTGTCCATGATGTAAAAGCAATTTTAATCTGCTAGTTTCTTACATTTTTCTTTGTTTGTAGATCCAGCTGAGTGTTTTTTATCCTGAATATTTTGGTCCACATGCAAATTCCCTTATGGTTCTGTAATCTATATACCTTGTTAAAAAATAAGTTCACACATTTTCATTTGTACTCTATGGAAACTTGAGTTTTGTAATATATATATATATTTGAAATTCCAACGACCAATGCTAATATAAAATAATATACTCCTGTATTACGCGTTACAAACTTACAGCAGCGACCTAACAATTAACAAAGACAAAAGTGATGGACCAAGTAACGCGCATTGAACTTGTTGTACTGATTGAGTATTGAAAACATGACACTAAATTTGGTTAGATTTTGGGACCATAAAGGTTTCATCAAATGCCGGTCCTACCAATTGATTGTAAATGTCCGTGGTCCGTGTTCTGTATGTCTATCAATTTGTAAATTGTAATGGTTTAAAGCAAATAAATGCAAGCTTGCATTGAATATGTGTGTTTCCGTACAGTAGGACTTTGTGAATCAATGGCCCCTATCTCACCTCAGATCTACAACAAGTGGGTGGCCGCCCCTCTCCTTTTACCTCTGAAATTAGGGTTTATCTTATCATCAAACATTATTAGAAATGCCCATAATTGTACGCTCAAGTTTACAGATAACTTGAGTTTTATATCTCCTGCATTTTCAAATATACACTTTTATATGGGGTCATTACTTTTATAACTTTAAGAAGGGTAAATTAGGAATATTATAAAAATAATATATTAAAATTTGAATTTTAACACTTATTTTGTTACATCTAAAAATAAAAAGGTGAACATGTTTTTGTAAAACGCAAAAATGTATATATATTAATGCTCCGAATCATGAGATTATTTTTGAGATATGAATCAAGATTTGTCTTATCCGTTAATTTTATTAATTCAAAAAATACTTTATAGAATAAAGCCATGTTAAGTTTTATTTGATTTCATAAAATAAGATATCGTCAATAACCAACCTAAAATCTTAACGGTTCAAGATAATCGAGTACTTTAAAATAAATGTAAAAACCAGGGGAATGCAAACCTAATAAAACTCCCTACAATTCCTACAATTCATGTGATAATATAAATAATTGAGTCTAAAAAGTCCTCGAAAAGTTAGTGATGTGTGTGATGAGAAATAATTAATTAGATATCATTTTCATCAATGAATTAGAAACAATGAAAGCGATAAAATGGTTCTAGATTTGATACTATAATTTTAATAAGGACCAATAAAGCGATTGCAGCCAACATATCAATTTATCTGAAGATAAAACATGTCTTTATCAATCCTACAGACTCACTGTCATTCAAATTTTATTTAACTAGCTTTATCCTCCAAACATTAGCTGGATCTGTTGAAAATCATGATTAAAAATTTTCAGGTCGGTGAAATTATATTGAGAGGCCTAACCATAAGAAAGTAGGTCTGCCAAACCACTCACATGAACACATCCGAAATTCAACATATTACGGTACAATATATCATTATATATATTTTTGATTTCTTTATTTATTTATTTTTCTGATTTTTACATAAACTATGTGTGCATTTATGATTGAACGAAGAGAAAAGCTACCCTGCATATATTATTTCTTCAAAAAAAATTAACAACATTGTTAAGTACTTCTCCCTATAAAATACAAATATACCTTTTTTTTTTTTTTTCTTTCTTTTTTTATTTTTTATTTTTTATTTTTTATCTGGATATTGAAATATCCATATTTTTTTCCATAAATATGAATAAATAATTTTGTCAAAAGATCGCTTCAATCCAATAATCTAAGTCAAATCTGAATAACTCCAAATATTAAGAGTTGTTAATAGCGGGTGAATTTTAGGACACCAAAATGATGATTAAATTTAGTACTTGATGGAGTAATCTCAGTAAACATACCTACAAACAAAAAAAACAAAAAAGCAAAAAGGAAAATTTATTGTGACCACCAGGCTTTTCTTCTTTATTCTTTCATTGCTCATTATTGAAGTTATGGACGACCCCAATAAAAAAAATTAGGAATCAAATAAAAATTAAAGTCAATAAAATTTGAATAATTATGAAAAACATGGACCGTCCAACAACATGGAATATATTGAATTCGGAATGTTGACTACGACCTTACTCACTCACCCAGAACGGGAGCTAACATAGAACCCAAAAAGAAATTACATGCGAGATTAAATTATTAAACCAAATAGCAATATTCTCCAACAAAAACTAGATAATGTACTATATTATATAAATTATTTCTCTTCCTCTTTACTATATTAATAAATTATTAATAAAACTTTTATTGGACAAGATATTTAATTATTATTTAAAAGTCAATGTGGTTCATGGGTTTATTATCATCGTACAGGAAAGAATTATAAAAAATACCACTAGTAATGTTTAACACCAAATCACTTTTACTTTGAGCTGGTCCTCCTCTCAGTGATCAAAATGAAAGACTTCTCTTAATCCAAATGATTAGACAACCGTTAATGATGAGAGCATCTCTACTAAACTATTGTACCAAAATCCACGTGGCATTGTTGGATTATAGAAGCCAAAAGTCAAGAAAAGAAGAAAAAGAAAAGAGAAATAATTATAAGAGAATCACTGCTGCAAAATGGGTCATGATCTATCAATTCATTTATATTAGTTCGTAAAAAAAATAAATATAGATGAATCTTTTTAAAATATGGATTAAAATGGGTGACACATAACTGCCGTGGCAAAATGGGTCATGATCTATCAATTCATCTATATTAGTTCATAAAAAAAATAGATATAGATGAATCTTTTTAAAATATGGGTCAAAATGGGTGACCCATAATGGATTAATGGGTCACCCATTTTGACCCATATTTCATCCATTATATAAGAGACACAATTTTACGTCATTTATTTGACTCAAATTCACCTTTTCTTTTTCTCTAAAATTCTCGATCCCAAATTCTCTCTCTCCCCTGGTCTCTCTCTCTCTTTAAAATTCTTTCTAAGATTCTCTCTCTCCCACTCTCTCTTTAAAATTCTCTTTCATCATCCTCTTTCTCTCTCTAAAATTCTCTCTCATCATCCTCTTTTCCTCTCTAAAATTCTTTATAGTACTATAGTATTGCTCTGCTACGTCCACAATACATTTTTATTCGTGTGTATTATATATATAGGAATACCTGATTTTTTCATTTAATTATTTATTTTATAAAAAGCTTAATAGATTATTTCATATATATAACTTACCTTCATGCATGTCTAGTCATAAAATAAAATAATATAAATTTTAAAAAATATCAAAATAAATTTAAGGATTTACAATTATCGATACATATTTTTACAAGCTTTTATTCATCTAAAATAAAAACTATAATAATGAAATTATCCAAAATAATAGCATTTTTTTTCCTAAAACGAGTCGGTGGGTCATGATGGGTTGACTCGGCCCATTTTGACTTAAACTCATTTTTAACCCATTACAAGCGAGTTGAATATGAGTCACAACCCATGTTTGACCTATGCCAAACCTGACCCAACCCCCTGTTTGCCACCCCTAAGCATCCCCAATGCAACATCTCCACTTTCATTTTATTCTTTCATAAAGTTTAGTGCCATGTCAGCAATTGCGGTGACATGGCTGTATACATTTTTTGAAGATTTATCTTCCTTGTTGTGCAACCCATTTTTTATATTCTATACTTATCTATTTTATTATTTTTAAAATTTATAGAGACACTATTCATACACAATAAATTTATTTAAAATAATAAAAGGACACAAATGTCCCACCATTCTAAAGGGGCCATGATGTTGTTGGTCTGACCAGGCTCTTCTAAATAGTCTGGACTTTTCATTATGGGCTTTTTACCCCACTCATTTTAGGCTTCTGACTCGTAGACACCTCAATGCATGTACAACAAATGAAGGGCCAAGGCCCAAAAATTATGTGTCCAGCTTCAGCACGTGATCTGTTGTCAGGTCAGGTATAAGTATAAAACAAATTAAATTTGCAACATGTCATTGTTTAAAGTTTCAATTGAGATCTCAGTGTCAAATGGAGAATTTTTTCAAGCTTGCAAATGAAGTGAGAGTTAGAGCATTGAAGCGTCGTCCATTTAAAAAAATTATGTGACTTAGATCTCCTTTAATAGTATTGAAGTCCAATGTGCCCATTCATTGTTATCTCTTTATTAATTATTGTGATAACAAATGAAAATATTAGCCTTAAACTTCCAAGCAAAATAGGAGTAAAAAAGAGGCAGTACTTAAAAGTGAACTAAAACTATTCCAATTTCCAATGAGGTTTCATTTTTTGTCTAATTCTTTTTAAGTTAGTCATCATTCATTATTTTTGTCTTTATTCAATATAAATGGATCATACATTCTCTTTTTTAAATTTATTTATAATAAATCATTTCTTTTATTAGATTTAATTTTAATTTTCTTTATCACTTCATTCTATATATATTAATTTTGGTCAATATGTGCCACACCTAATTTCTTCTTAATTGTTAGATTATTAATCTTATAATCTTTCAAAGTTATTCTCAACACCCATCTTAACGTTGTATTTTTGCTACATGAATGTATTATTGTTGTTCTTTTCTATTTTATTTTATTTATTTTATTTTTTATGTCAACATTTTGCTTATATAAACTAGTT